TACCTAATGAGGTGGAGAAAAACTGGGTCTTTATGGACAGGCTGGTGCGGAGTTTTTGTTCACTGGCTGTTTGTAAGCCGAATAGTTCATATTTGGCAGTTTCTGTAAATATTGGCAAAGGTAAGGGTTGTTTTATTAAAAAGGGTGGAAGATGCAATGATTTGCAGTAACTCAGAAGATTTAAAAAAAAAAATCTGCTTCCATTTGTGCAGCTCTGCTAAGCTAGGAATACCTTTCAGATGACCCTGATGACTTCATTACTGTGAAGGGGGGCAAGTATTGCTGGTACCATCCCTGCACACTGGTGAATAATTAATGGTATCACCTGAAAATGTATTAAGGGGCCAGAATCTAAAGTGTGCATTACTCTCAATACCTTATTACAAGGCATTAGTGCAATCAATGGGAATTGTAATAAAATATTTATACCTATGGTGGCATACCAGATACAATAACTCAAATCCCTGTGTTCCATTGGATACTGTAGGTTACATACACACATGTGTGTGTGTGTGTGTGTGTGTGTGTGTGTGTGTGTACGCACGCACACACACACACACACACACACTAGAGGGCCAGACCTCTAGCACTTCAGCAGGGAAGCAGGTTGTTTACCACGACAGTAGAAGCGATTGTTTTCTGAAGATATGGGTAAACAACGCGATTTAACAGCCTTTGAACGTGGAAAGCTTTACGTAAAATAGCTGGGAAAAAAACTATAATTGATGAGAATCCAAACTACTAATCCATCAGCAGTCAGACACCATTGAGGTACAAATTATCTCTTGCCAGGTCACGATTAAAGTGACATTAAACCCTCAGATTTTTTTAACATAAACCAATACTGTAATGTGTGCCTTACTGTAATCCATGGTTGTTTCCCTTCTCTTTGCTGCTCTTCCTTTTAAATCTGTATCTGTTCTCATGCTGGGCAGAACTTCTGTTTTGCAGCAGACTGCCTTGTCTCTGGAATGGCTACATGGTGTCTGTGTGCAGGTTCACAACCTGAGCCAGCACTACAGGAAGAGGCACTCAGCTGCAAAGGGAAGTTCTCCCCAAGCATGAGAAGACATGAGGATTTAAAAGGAAGAGCAGCAAAGAGAAGGGAAACAACCATGGATTACAGTAAGGCACACATTACAGTATTTTATGTTAAAAAAAATTTGAGGGTTTAATCTCACTTTAACTAACTTATATAACGGCAAATATTCCTAAATAAAAAAACACTATAGGACTACAAAAGGAGGTTTATGTTAATGGAAACTATATAACCCATAAAAAAAAGAAGAATCAGCAATGTGGAAAGAACATGAAATTAGCACATGTGGATTTTGTCTGTTGGAAGACGCGTATCTGCTCCCTTGTCACCACAGGTATTGCACCAATCAGTTGATCCCCCCAGTGGGGAGGTATACTGGACAAAGTAGCAAGGGACAAACTGTGTCCTTTGAATGGCTTTCCAGTTCATTAATAACCATGAGGTGATAGCGATTCCTCTGTGTGAGCCTAAGCAAGTACTCTTTTCCTGTTGCCTGCTTCATAACACATATTGCTTCTGCTGCTGGATGCAGATCTTTGGCTCAGGAACATGATATCAATATGTTCACCAGCAGGACAGACGCTCAGCATCAAACCATTAGGGAAATAAATCGTCCAGGACATTCTGTGTAGTTTATCATCTATCTGGCAATGTCTATCCCCACAATATTGATATGTAATTAACGTCAGGCAACTTGCTTTACTTTTTATGTGAAAAATATTCAGTGTGAATCAGAAAATATGTATTTTAGGTTTCCGGTTATTCTAAATTTGGGGTATTTTTACATAGATGAAGACAAAACATACAATCATGTATTCACTTTGCTGTTAACTTTCATCAGAACTTTCATCAGGCCTTCACATACTCTATAAAATCATCTATGAAAGAGGAAATAAACAAAAAGGGGTTGATCAATGCAATGACATTCAATTAAGAGAACACATGCATGTTTGACGTCTCTACCAGATTCCTTTATCGACTAATAACTAAATTCAGAAGATGAAAAAAACATTTGAAGTCAGTGAATGGCTAACTGTGCTAATCAGAGTCCTGCCAATATACACAACCACTACACTACCAGACGGAGAAGTTTAGTTTTCAATTAAAGATGACCTGCTGGTTTAATTCATATTTGGAGGAGAAGAAGAAGAACCAACCATGAACATCTCTACAAATCAGTAGGACGCAGTTGGATTTATAAGGAAGTAGAACAGTGGTGACACACTCTTCTTAGCTGAAGGAAGAATGACCGCTGTATTGTCCAAAACTGGAAAGTCTGGTCAGGTTTGTTGTGATTGAACTATTTTTGTCTTGGTGTAGTAGAATAAAGAGGTTGAAATATGCAAACTGGAGGAAAGAAAAAAAAAAAAAAGTGGGGATGTTGTCCAAAACTGGCGATTATAAAAATCGCCATGTCTGTTTAATTGATTTCTGCAATCCACTTTCATCAAGCTTTTAAAACTAAACCAATGTGGGAAGTTTTGTCTTTACTACAACCCCATCGTCAGTCTTTTCTACGGTCATATGACATCCTGGACTATTGGCATCCCTTTAGGCTAGGCTCACACCTGGACGACTCCTGACCGTACAGCAATCGTGCACAAAACCGCGCGGATTGCCACGCAGTCACTGAGTCGCCCACCGCAGCCGATCGCGATGTGCGTGCCATTATTTTCTAATGGCACCCCAGTTGGGCCAGGCAGATCGCGCATCGTGTGTCACAAAACGCACGATTGCCCCGTGGATGTCAGCACCAGCACACGATTGCGCATTCTGGGTGTCGCTGAGGTGTGAACCTAGCCTTAGACATACAGTGCAAAGATTTCCATAGACATTATCAATGCAATTCAGGGGATGCTGTATTCTACACAAGTGGCTGATCTCGGATAGGAAGCAAGACAACTAAATGAGCAGCAGGTAAGAATTTCAGGAAATCTGCAATCTAAATTAGGTGGATATAAATGCAAAGAACAGGAATTGAGATTTTGGAAAATATTCAAAGCTAGAAAAAGACTCGTACAATAATTATTTTGGTTCTATTTGCTAACTAAATCTGAATTCTCTTTAACATACCAAGTAGAATGGAGATAAACTGGCATTCACAAATCTATTCATAGTGATCTACAAAAACATACCAGCCACCAGTAAGATGGATCCTTCTCAGCACAAGATTAATGTGCCGATGTGACAAGTGAAATGAAGAGAAGTACTTTATAAGAGACTGTTGTGTTCAGCGCCTGGGCCCCCTGCATGGCCCAATCCTCAATACAGCCTGACCTTTGTCATCGTTCATGCCGGGTTTCACAACATTAGGCAGCTTTCTGTTATTAGTGTTCATTAGCTTGTCTGAACAGCCTTGACATTTCCAGTTGGAACTTGCCTCAAAAAAAAAAAAAAAATTGGACACTTTTTTTTTGTAGCTATGAAGGTTTGTAGGTAGAGAAAAAAAATCTTCATCGGTATACAGAACAATACAATGTGATATTAAGAAGTGAGAATGTACTTGCCTTCAGGAAAAACGGCAATCAAAGAAAGATTAGAATAAAGAGATTAAGGGGAACCTCTACTGAAAGAACTATGAAAGCTGCAATTGTTGACATGCTATCAAAATATAAAAAAGTGTCTCAATACTGAGTCACTGACCTAGGACAAGCATGCAGCTAGTGAAGTCAGAGCTCCCAATCTGTGTTCTTGTTCTGAGTCAGTGATTTACAAGTATTAAATCCTTTGAATCAACAGTACAGGCATATAATGAGTGAGGGAGAACTCGACTCTTTACTTTTCTATGGACAGGTTTTCTTTTGGCAAACATAGCTAACGTATTTATACTAAATATACTAAGTAAAATTTGAACTGCAGTGTACAGTTGCGGTTTCCTGGGAAAAGTCATCTGTAAAATTCTATATTGCCCGGTGTATGAAATGTCAAGATCAGAAACACAGTGAGCATGCTAAATGTCAGCAGATAGTGTTAAAAGACTATTATTAATACTCATCAATATTTGTATTGGCCAAGCTGTTGGGAGCTTCTTGATAACACAAAAGAATTAGGGATGTTCGAAGGGGTTTGGTGCGAACCATATTTGACTGCATTCACCCAAGCATGCGCATAACTGTCACCGACGCGCCCTCCCTCTGGCCCAATCAGTTGCAGCAGGGGCATTTCCTGCCCCTTTGTGACGTGTAGCTAATTCACACCATAACTG